CTTTAAGTATTTTAAAGCACCAAATTAATTCTGTTTCCATGCTTAAATTTGCCCTTGTGGTATTTTACATCTGTAGAAAGGAAAACACCACAAGTACCCTCAATAAACTTAGTGGTGGCTACTCTATTTCTTTTAGCTGGTTTATTTCTTTTTTATTTAGTTTTTTTAGCACCTAGATTGGGCAGGTTGGTAATAGAATTAAAATGTATTTTCCCAAATTGATGTGGAATTCAACATATACCAATCTTTGCACTGCACATCAAAAATATTTATGATTTATGTACCTATAACATGCATTTTACATCTTGTGAATAATACATATATTTAAATAGGGGTCTTCCCTTTCACATATTACATTTTATATGGTTATTAGGGTGTTTCATTCTGCATTTTCTGCCAGGCTTTTAATTTCACACACTTCATCTATCAGATATTACTGCCTACTTTAAACAAATCACTACAGAAAATGATAACTGGTGTTGAATACAGACTGAGGGAGGCAGGGGGTTTGCAATTCCAAGTAATGTGGAGCTAGGTGATAAATAGAGAACAGCAGCTGGGCTGAGAAGCTCAAGAGAGACAAAAATCACATTTGCAGGTAAGTGGAGTGGAAATTTGTGGAAATTGGGTAAAACAAAAAGCAAAACATTGTTATTAAAGGTGGAATGAGAGGGAGCAAGAGCAACAGAGAGGCAATTTTCTCCCAGCTCCAGCAGGAATTCATCTCAAGCTCTAACATGCAATTTCAGTACGGAGCTCCAGGATGAAACACAGGATTATATCTAATTGTTTTAGGGGTTTGGATAACAAAGCATAAAAATACCAGTGAGTGGCCTTTTGTGCCAGTGCAACCCAGAAAATGATGAATAAAAGTTACAAAAACATCCAAAACCCGAACTGCAATAAATATCAAGATAACTACCCAACAGAAAAGAAACACAGCTTCAGGGATTTGGTATTTTCAGGGATATCTGTACCATGACAGCCCAGTTCAGAGGAAAATTGATCCGGCTTCTGAAGTTTGCCAAAGCAACACTAAGCTGCAGGAATACCACACACCTTCTCATTTTACCTTTTCTGGCAGTAATATTTTACAATGGAAAGCCAGGAGTGCTGTTAGAGTATGGAAATGAGGACAATTAAATCTGCCCTATTATGAGTATTAAAAAGGCTGTTATGTAATTGTACTCTGGGTATTTAACATGATGGTGTAGAGCTAAACAGTCCCTTCCAAACAACAAGCTAACAGATCTTTATTAATATGTTATTTATTTTGGCAAACAAGAAGTTAATAGGTCTCTATTAATATGTTATTTATTTTGGTCATACCTGCTTGTAAAATATTATTACTGCCTGAGTTTTGGCATTTTAGCTGTCAAAGTGACAAATCCACCCTTAGCTTTGGCTAATCCTTAGGGCCAAAAAACCCCTTCCAGATCTGCTGAGTGGCAAACTCAAGGCTGGCAAAGACTCTCCATTTGTTTTGGAGAAGGCTTTGCATAAAGCCTTCCCCCGAAGATGGGGAAATACAGGAGAGGTTTTGTGGAGCCACTGTGGAGTCCTGGGGAGCTGAAGTTTAGTTCTAACACTAAGTGAAGCTCAGCACTACATGTGGCACATTGGCACCAAGCTGGGCATGGAGACAAAGCCCAGGATCACAACAAGCCATCCCAGGCAGGCCTTCTGCTTCTGAACTCACAAAGAACCATCCTAGCTGCTCATTTACCTCCAGGAATAACAGCACACACGTTGCCTTCTATGCATCATCTCACATGAAAATTAGCACAGCTCCCATGTTTTCTTACATATATATATATATATATGTGGGAACCAATGCTTGTGATTTAAAAACATATATCATATGTAGTACAAATCACTTCTGTCTTTCACCTATCTGCTAGTTCTTCACTGTTGTGACTCTGAACATCCCTGGTTTAGCTGAGCAGCCACCACAGCACGTGGTGCAGTGACAGCATCCAGTGTAGCCCCAGCTCTGCAGTGCCTAATCCTGCTGCATCCCATTCCCACCCTCAGGCTGGGATGTGGATGGCATGTGGGACTGCCAGCTCAAGTGCAATGACTCTGGCTTTGCTTTGAAGGTGGAGATGCTCTGGAAGGTGTCAGAGGTAGCTGGAATGAAACCAGGAGCAGAGAGATCCCAGTGGCAGGTGGAGAACTGGAGAAACAACCTGACTGAAGAAGTCAACTAGGCCTATGGATACAAAGGAACAGCTGGAAAACAAGCTCAGTTTATATTTTCTTTTTTTTTTTCCTTGTCAAAAGCCTACATTTTAATCCAAAGGGGCCTTTGATTCCAGCAGAAAATGTCTTCCCATGGAGCATCTTGTGTTTCCCCTGGCAGACAGCCCTAGCACAGCCATTCCTGTTGGCACTGTGTCTTAGGAGCATTTCTGCTTCCCCGTGCCAGACCTGCCCAAGTTTGGAGCCCTGCTTAAGCCTCAGGTTGAAGCTGAGAAGGTGGTGATTCACTGACAGAGCCTCAGCTCTCCCACAGATACCCACATTTGTACCAGCCCTTCTCTGGCTCTTCCTCAAGCAGAATCAAAGCCTGGGACTCTGACCTCAGCACCTGGTGTGCAATGACAGCCTCCCTGATCACTGCCATGTCCTCCCATTCTCTTCATCTACTCATGTGACCTTCTTTCCTCCTGACTCAGAAATACTGCAGCACCAAAGGCAGAGATGGCAGCACATCAAAGAGCCTAAGATACAAGGGAAGCAGGTTTATTTTCACTTGAGCTGAGATTTTTTTTTTTTTAGCAAGACTTCAAAATACCTTAAAAAAGTAACAGAGATGATAATGGGATTGAAAAATTCAATGGCATCTGAATAACATAAGTATCAAGTATTCAAGCACCAGTATCAGGGGATAAGATAACCCACCCAGAGCAGTTCCCAGACACTGGGGTTATACATCTCATCTGGGCTGTGTTTCTGAAGGGGATGTGAATTTGCAGCCCCGTGACAATAAAGAAATTGGGGTTAAGAAACAAGAGAGGAGGAAAAAGGGCCAGTCGATTCTCCCACCACCTTTTCTTGTTCCTAAAATTTCAGTTGCCTGGAAATGGCTGATGAGAAGATGGGATTATGTAAGCACTTGCCAACTTCTCACACGCTAAGGAAATTAAAGCCTCAGTGATGGGTAGCTTAACCCATGCTCTAAGCAGTGAGCTAAACCATGTTTACTAAGGAGACTTGAATAGAGAAACCCCTTTAAAAAAAAACAGAAGTGATGAGGACTTGACAATTCCCAGGATTAAAAAGCTGCATACATTACAGACAAGGTAATCTCCTTATAGTAAGGAGGAAAAGGAAAATAAAGCCTTTTTGGTGGGCAAGACAGTTTTTGTTTTAAGGCATATCCATCCTGTCTGGTTGAAGACTTTCTTTGTTATTGCCTTTTTTTTTTCCCTGATAAACATGACAGAAGAGCTACACCAGCCTTCCAAATCCTCACTGTTATATGTTCCAACAAACTCACTGCTCCCATCAAACATGACCCACCAATAATAAAATAAGAACCACTGTGCTCTTCCTACTTTTGATCAGGTGAACACTTGGGTGCTACAAGACAGCTAGCACCAATCAAAGTGCAAAATCAAGCTAGATGTCACCCCAGCAGATCTAAGCCTTCCCCTGCTGTCATTCCAGTGACATGGCACCTTCTGCAAATACTCTCATTTAACTACAGCTGAAGGCCAGTTGAAAATCTAACATAGAATCACAGTATATCCAGAGCTGGAAGGGCCTCACGGGGATCACTGACTCCAACTCCTGGCCCTGCACAGGACTCCCCAACAATCTGTCAAAAACCTCTAAATCCTGCCCCAAGCTGAAGATGCATCACCCACTGGAGCACCAGCTATCCAAAACTGCAGGTAGCACATAGCTGATCTAGAGGCTGAAGAAGAAATCTATTTCTATATATTGCCTGCTGCTCAGCCACAGGACAGCAAAATAAACTCCATTTGCACCTCTAGTTGTGTAATGTAAGTAAGTGTGTCTAGGAGAGGAAATATAAAGTATGTGTGCTGGAGCTCACATTTTCATCAACAGTAAAAAATCCCAAACAGTGGCTTTTTCTACAGCTGCCCAATAATGGCAAAAGGCAAATCCTCAGCTGGTGTTATGGTTATGGTTCCACTGGAATCTGTTGCTGCTGCTTCCCCTCTGGACCTACAGATGGAGGGGGGAAAAGCCCAACCATTCTACGTGAAGAAAAGCTGCACTGAATGAGTGGAACCAGATGTGAAAACTTGCACCCAACTACAAGAATTGTGAGATGTCCTTGAAAGCTTTGACTGGTCAAAGCTCCAGCCAGCCAATAACAAAACCTACAGTTCTTCAGCTTTGGAAGAGAAGAAACAACTTCTCAGAAATGCCAGAAGTGACTCAACCGTGATTTTTAAGCTGCTTCAACAGCATCTTAGTTATTTCAAGTAGTCTTAAGAGTTTACCTGTGATTGCCTTCCCTTAATGGAACTACGAGCTGGCAAAGTGCTCAAATTGGGGCAAAAGAAACACACACAATTTTTGTGACTGCTGTGTTATGAATATATTGTTTTTTCCTGTTCCAAACTGCCTTTCCTGGGAATTTTAAAATACAGAAAACCAGCAAGTATCTACATAAGTAGGTAATTTTCTTAATGGCAGGGAAGTGCTTTTTTACTCCAGCTCGTTTGTAACACAGACACACACGTTTCCAAATAAAGAGTATTTTTGGATCTGCAAGGAAGGGGAGTGACTTAAAATCACGGAGGCACTCACTCCAAGATCAGGTAGAGTCTAATTCAGAAAGACAAGCAGGAAAAAGTCGTATTTGGCACCTTCCATGAGAGCTTTGCAGGGAGTTGTGACATTTTGGAGAAAATCCTCTTGCCGCGCATAAGCCGGAGCTGGAGGGTGCTGCACGCTGCATATTCCATTACAAAAGCAGAGCCACGTTAGTTCATTAGAGAAGTGATAAGTTCAATTCTTACCAAGTTTTCTTGGTTCCTGGCTGCTATTTTCTGATCATCTTCTCCCCCATTTTTCATGTATTTGACCTCTTCCACTGGTTTGATCCTATACTCATCTGAGCACCAAGAAAAAAAAAAGAAAAAAAAAATTTGAACCAGTGTAGTTCAGCAGCTGGGATAAAAACCAAACTAAAACCAAAACAGCTGACTAGAATAGACCCTAGTTAAGCAAAGCAACTAAAAATTACATGTATATCTTGTCAAAGGCTTACATGTGACTAATACAAAGGAAGTTTCTCCTGCCCAAAGCTTCAATAAGAATTTTAGTAGCTCTCTGGTCTAGTACAGCCACAGCACCAGGAAACAGGGATGTTTGGTGTGCAGTCTCTCCCAGATCCCTAGTTTTCTGTTTAATATGTTCATTACATACAAGTTCTTTGCTCCTGCACCCTCCCTGGATATTCATTCTTAGTGGACCAACAAGCCATGGACAGTGGCTGCTTGAGAGAAGGCTGCTCATGGGTGTTCCCTGCACAGTAAAGCTGATGGAGGATACTGAAAATGTAGGTTAAAATCTGGAAAAAAGCCAACCCACACCATAATCACTGTCCTTTTTTAATTTTGTTTTTCCTGATGACACAATTCAGAGTCATAGAATGATGTATGGAGAAAAGGCCCCATGCTGACCCATCTTCCTCTTCCCACTTCCCCCACCAACCACCACTTTTCCTGCACAAAAATGTTACCTAGACAGAAATTCAGCCTGAAAATAAGTAAGAAAAGTAAGATTCTTGGTTTGTCCTTAATATTTATCAGCTCTTCAAATATTAGAATTCCCAGCTCTAATGCCAGTATGGAAATGTTACCTAACATACATGTGCTATACCAAAGCAAACCCAAAGCTCCAACAAGGGATTTTTTCCTTGGTAGGACAAGATGGGATTTCAGGATGAATCATTCTTCCCTGCAGCCTGTGAATCCAGTTCTTGCAGGACCAACACTGCCCTTGCTCAGTCACTTTCTGCTTATCTTTGCAGCATGTGAGTCTATTGGAAAAAACACCCAGAGGTGTGCATCCACCCTCCTCCAGCCAGGATAAACAATGCAGAAAAGAAACTCCATCCCACAAAGGTGGAAAATATTAATACAAAGTGAAATGAGACACAGTACACTCGAAACAAAGGGCAAAACCATGGCAAATTAGAAGATACTGCACAAACTTTCCTCTTTTCCTTTGGGTTTTCAAGCAATTTCTCTCACTTATACTAAGGGAAAAACAAAGCACAAATAGATTTTTCTGGGTTACTGTATTGTTAAAAAAAGAATCAATATTCTTTAGACAAAGATGTTTTCAGGAAACTGTTAACCACAGAGTCTAGAAATTAAATAAGCCTTGCTTTGAAAAGTAAGGCTTATTTTAAAAATAAACTTGTTTCAAAAAACAATCTTATTTTTAAAAATACATCATGGTTTTGCATTTGGTCTAGTCCACATCTATACATTTTCTTTATTACAGAGTTCAAAGAAACTTAATCTATCGAACAGAAGCATCTGAGACACAGAGCCTCAAACCAGTTGGAAGAATTTAAAACAATATCATCAGATTGGTAAATGTGAACAACTCTGAGGGGGTTTTTTTCCTTTTTTCCCAGTGTAATTCAGCTAGTCTGGAGATGACAATTCATAAACCCAAAAGGGCTGAACACAGTAAAGCCTGGGAATTAGAAATAGCTGATTGACTGCAATTATCTAACTTACATTTTCCTCCCTGCCTCAGTGCTCTGTGTTGTGATTAGCAATAAAACCCACACGCAAAAAAAGCATCAAACTCCCACAGAGGCACGCAGGGATCTGAATGGGGAAACAGATGAGCAAGAGAAAGCAGCACAAAGGACATTTCCCAACCCACAGCCAGTCCATGGGCACTGGGGGAGAGAGGAAGTTCAGCCCAACCTCATGGAAAACAAGGAAGGTACGGAGGGGCTGACGTCCCATGACAAAAATAACCCTGAAATGTGTCTGCTGCTTATTCCAAGAGATTAATTGTGATCAAACAGCACATCCAGGCAGCAGCTGATCCTGTGGGGATGGTACAGGAGGGATGCTTCCTTGGACACATCATCCCTTGGAGCAAGTCAGCCAGGGCACCGAGGAGTCCCTGACTGATTGCCAGCATAATCAGACTGACATGTGAAATTCTGATACACCTGCACAGGACAGAGTCTTCCTAGAGATCAAAAATTTTGAATTCACCATGGACATGGGCACAGATCCTTTAAATGCTGCATCATTTGCCAGATGCATCAAGTAGCTCTGAACTGGTGGCAGAAAACTTTGCACAGATTTCTTATGATATTTCCAGAGCTATTTCCAACAGCGTTAGTAAACTTCAATACTTTCCTGATGATACAATAAGTATTTAATTATCTCTGGCACAGCTGGTGTTACTCTCCTCTCCATCCTACCAACTGCAGAAGTGCAGACAACTGGATAATTTACACCCAAGGTATGCAGCAGCAAGAAAGTTTTGAAAAATAAACCAGTAATTTTTCATAACATTTTCTGAACAAGCTGAATCCACCACAGCAAGTCTTACTCTGGAGGAATCCAAGTTCTGCTTAGGAGAATGGCTTCCTACTGCCAGAAAGCAGGATTAGATGGGATATTGGGAAGGAATTGTTCCCTGGGAGGGTGGGGAGGCCCTGGCACAGGGTGCCCAGAGAAGCTGTGGCTGCCCCTGGATCCCTGGCAGTGTCCAAGGCCAGGCTGGACAGGGCTTGGAGCAAGTTGGACCACTGGAAAGTGTCCCTGCTCGTGGCAGGGGGTGGCACTGGATGGGCTCCAAGATCCCTTCCAATCCAAACCATTCTGTGATTTTGTGGATACAGATTAAAAAAAAAACCAAACAAACCAGGAAGCCCTGTAGATGTTGGCAGAATCAGCCTAGTAACAGAAAGTGTCTTAGAAAATTAATATAAATGTCCTGGCTCTAATAGATGGTATCTGTTTGAGCAGAAGAAATCTCTGCTTGTATCTCAAAAAGCAATAAAGCTTTGACACAATCTGAAGCTGAGGATCTGCTTCAAAGGCCAAGAGATGATCTCCTGGGATGAGAGGCACTGGGAAGGGGTTGAGGGGCTGGCACTCGGGCCCCAGTGCCTCAAGGAGAGATGAACAGCCCGGAGCTCCAGCCCCAGCAGCCCCAGGGGCTCCGGGCAAGCCGAGCACCCACCACAAAGGTGAGAGCAAAAGGGAAATGCAGCACTGGCCTGTGGAAAGCCAGGGATCAACTTCATTTTGGTTAATAACTGAGCCATTACAACTGTTCTATCAGCTACACACAGAAGTGAAGGGAGCAGATCAGAGATTTGTTATGTTTGAAGCAACATCATTTCTCATAAGCTCTCCTAGCTCCCTATCATAGGCAAAATACCTTCTTTAAAACAAGGAGCACTGATATAATACATTGGAAACATTTGTTACTGAGTATTCAATAACAAATTGTTTGAATAACTACTAAAAAATTTAATAACTACTACTATTGAGTAGTCTCTTGCTGGAGGGAGGTATGAATAGATATGATTCAACTTTGCAAGGGAAAAGAACAGCTAAGTAATTATACAGACTTATACAGCTAGGGAGGACACTGCTTGCTGGTGTAATAGAGAGCCTTATTCACAGGTAAAACATCCTTTATTTCAAATATATTAAATATAGGAATTAAAATAATTATTTTCAGAAGATGGGTCTTGCACTGCATTATGTCATTTTTGGGGGGACACCACGATATATAGATTTTTTTTTACTAGGTGAAGACAGAATTTGTCTTCTATAGATACTTTACAGATAAGGCAAGGTGTTCAGAAACTCCAGATTCTGAGCTATTTATGAGATTGTTCTTGTTCTAAACCTACTGTCAGGATGAAAGCACTGCAAATGCAGAAGAGATGTTGATGCAACAGGGACCTTGAAGCAGACCATGAGGTGTATGGTTTAATAACTTGAGGTGAATATGAAAATTAGATTAAAGACAGGTTGGATGAATGGGCCCTTAATGCCTTTCCTGTAGGTGCAAAAAAGTGCTAACCTGGTTTTGCTCAGTAAGTTAAGAGTGACCTGGAGATGAAGAAGTAAAGGATGATAAAAACCATCTTTTAAGTTTTACCTTCTGATTTCTACTGAAGTAAACACAGCATTTTGAAGTACTTTGGTCTGAGTGATCAGAAACAAATCCAGAGAAATCCTGAAATGTTGACTGAAATCCAGGAGGACCTCATTAAGTCTGGCAGCCAACAAGACCTTTAAAACTGTAAGTTCAGGATAAAGGAAATTTGTACTCTATGTGTATTTACCTTGGTCTTTTTCCTAAATACAGTTTTATATCAAAAAGAAAAGTGAAGCATGTTCATGCTTCTTTCTTGTATAGAACTAAAAATCAAGTAGTGAATATGTTAAAAAAAAATAAGGACACTATCACTCAGAATGTGATATATCATATGTAAAGAGAAATGCATCCTATTGCTCCTTTCAGGAGTAAAAACAAAATCAAGTCCCCTCTTCTATTGTGTGGTGTATTATGTAAAATGAGAAAATTTCCAATAACTCATATGGGGGAGGAATGACTTTACAGGACTGTCACAGCAAATCCTGAGCTGAAGAAAAGCAACTCAATTAAATCGAAAGAAAAACAACATAAATGAACCACAAAAGACAGAAACACTGCGAGCATAACACCCACCACAAATCACAGGATATAAACCAGAAAGCAGGAACACTTCTAGCTCCAAACTGTGGAAAGGCACAGGGAGGAAGAATTTTGAAGTTGAATATGCTGCAAAAAATTCTCAGCAGGCAAATCTTATGAATGAAGATCTCCATCTGGAAACAGATAATTCCACTCAAACATGTCACCCAGTTGCCATGGCAATGTGACAGAGAAAAACAGCACTCATTAATAACAATTTCAGTGATAAATGAGTATATCAACTTAGAATATTGAAACAATTACTGGGTGGGGGGCACAAAACTGTGGTGGTTCCCATGAGAAAAATGTCTTCAGCACTCTCAGGCACGGCTGTAAGTGCCTTTACCACAGGAATATGGGCAATGACATCAA